GAGGGGGATTTGCAGCTCTCCACGGCACTGGAGGGGCTGGGGCCCACGATTCTCTGTGTCTCCTTCAAGACAAGGCTGCCTGACTTCACGGCGTCCTAGCTTGACTAACGGCCGTGCCTCCTCTCAGAGAAATGCCACCATCCCCGAATGGAGAAAATCAATCACTACTTAAAAACAAGCAAAGTAGCTGCCACATCCCATATCTCCAAGGCCCTCACAAGATGTGACAGTGTTTTGACACACGCAGGTGAATATTCATCTGCAGCGTGTCTGTCCCGGCAGACATACCTGAGGGTAGGGCTGGAAGAAGCAGTTGCCTGAGTCCCCAGAAATGAATGACGCCTTGGCACAGGCTCTTGCTTCAGTGGGGGACCCAGCCAGCTACACTCAGGGCTGACTCCCATCTCTGTGCTCAGGGATCACTCCAGGTGGGGCTTGGGGGGCAATACAGAGATCCCTGGCTGGTGCATGAAAGACAAGGGCCGCCACCACTGTACTGTCTCTCTGTCCCATTATCTGTGATTCTTCCATATTTTCCAGGCCCTTCTCTGACACCACGCAACCAAACCTCCTCCCTCCCACTGCTCCATGGCTTCAGGTCTGCACAGGAGAGCGACTTTTGTGCTTACCAGCTCTGGCCCCTGCAGGCTTCACCCATAGCTGGAAGTTGGACACAAGCCCCATCTGTTTCTCTGAAGCTACTGCTGGTCTCTAGCCTGTAGGGATGGAGTGTCCCTTTCTACCAAGGTCCAGTGTGTGTTTCCCAAGTTCATCCTCCTACCCCTGGTTCTTCTGCAGCCAGTTTTATTTTAAAGCACTGTTTTAGTTTCTGCCTGCCCAGCATACACGTAAAGGTATCTGTATTTCCTCTTTAAAACACCTTAATGGTTGCATGGTGTCAACCATTAGGAGACACCTACAGGGTGACACAAGCTGCCAGAGCCTTCTACAAAATCGTTCCCCTCCAGGTCCTTCAGCAGTGTGCCCAAGATGGGAACAGCTCCAAAATGGTCATCAGGGCAGGTGCGGGGACCTCGCCTGAGGCCATGGGGACATTGGCCCCATGTCACCACAGGCCTGCGTGGTCTGCAGGTGAGACTCATTTGGGTCCCGGGTCAGTAGGTGTTGAAGGAGCTGGTCTGCAATCTCCCAAGAGGCCAGGCTGGACTCTGTGTGCTGAGATGCTGCTCCCAAGTATTGGGAGCTCGGCTTACCATCACAGAGACAGGAACTGCTGCAGTGGCCGATGATGGGTGAGCAAGGACTGCAGGCCGATGGCCGTGGCTGGGCTGCATCCAACTCACAACTTTAGGAATCTGAGTGTGGGACACAGTGAGTCCGTACAAAATGCTCCTTGATGAGAGAAAAGGTGGAAGGGAGAGCATGAAGTTGGCCACGGCTGGTATGGGGATGCAAGGAGGGGCTGGATTCCTCTGGCAGGAACCTGTTGCGAACATGTCCAGAGCATCTACTAGACCCATCCAGGCCTGAGCTCATGTCCTCCATGCCTCTTGCTTCCTCCATGATGCTAGGATACAGGGAATAGGAAGACTGCTGGAATGCAGTCAGACGACTTTTAGATTTAAGAAGGGAACGAGGATTGAGTGGCGTCTGCTTCCAGGGCAGGGGCACGAGAAAAGGTCCCCTTCTCTGGGGGTTTCTGAGGCTCAGATATTCTTTTCTTAGGAAGGTAAATTTTCCCATCACAGACCATCCCCTGCTGAGCAGTGGGGAACTGGGAGAGGCCCTGGCGCATTCTGCTTGTGAGGAGATCCTCTATGTGGATTGTACACCCCGAGGCCTCCACCCATGGGGACTCAAGGAACTTAGGGGACTCGAGGAACTAGCCTGGTCCTTAGGGGATGACCTTTGTGGCTTATTGATAAGTTCAGAAAGCACAGCCACCTGGAAAAGGGGCCAAAAGCCTGTGACACGATCCTCCATGCTGACCCTTCCCTCCTGCACAAACTTGGAGCCTGGCCGTGACCTTCAGGGTCAGCAGGGGGGAGAACAACCAGGGAAGGGCATTAGGAAGGGCTGGATCCATGACTAAAGGTCAGGACTCACAAGCAGGACCTAAGGCGAGGTGCCCCCAGGAGAAGCAATCGCCCTCATGTAAAAGAAATGAGTAGGAAAACAGCCCCTACTCCAGGAGCTGTTCCGGTCCCGATGGCCTCCCCTCCTTCCCCATGACTTGGACTCTGCTCAGCGGAGGTACCCCTTGGTTCCCTCTAAAGAGTCTCCTCATGATCCCAGTAGCCCTCCTTCAGGGTGTTGTAGTTTACAAAAGAGTTTTTGAGTGACCATCATGTTCAGTCTATAGTCTACTGGGATCATTGGTGGTGGAGAATGGGCACTGGTGGAGGGATGGGTACTCGATCATTGTATAACTGAAACCCAAGCATGAAAGTTTGTAAGTCTACAACTGTACCTCATGGTGTTTCACTTAAAAAAAAATGTTTAAAAAAAATAATGAAGAGTCTTCTCAGACTCAAAAGGTGCATTAAGCACCAGTCAGGTTCAGTGCTGCCATCTGCAGTTAGACGCCAAGTTCTGGAGCTGAAGCCAAAGGTCACTCACAGAGCCAGCAGAACTCCAGCAGGAAGTGGGGAGAAGCAGTCCCCAGGTTCCTGGAAGGAGGGGCGACAACTTTGGGAAGCGGCAAACAGATTGACCTCATTGCTGTAACCCCCGGGGCCCAGATCACTGAAATCCACTTATGTCTCTCCTGGGCAGGTCACGGCTACACATTTATAAGAATTAGATCATTGATTTTTCTCTTGATAATCCAATTATCCAAATCTATGACAAACTGTTCTGCATTCTTCAAATTTCCTTCATAGAATAATTACATCTAATTGAATATCCTTTGAGATGTTACTAGTCCATTGGAAAAAGGAAAAGTTACACCTAATTTAATCAGCTGTCCTATAGAAGAAGATATTATCAAGTAACAGCATCCTGATGTTGTTGGGGTTTTATAAACAGGGGGCAGATAGGATGGCAAAGCACGGAGAGCGGCTTCTGCTCTGACTGTAAAAGGTTGACGACGAAGACAACGAAGCCTCAGGGCTGACTCATGTACTGAGCAGATGCAGAGCGCTCCTGTGTCACCCGGGTGCAGAAAAGCAACCGCCCTGGTTTCTCTCTTAGAGTTTTGCATTTTCAAACATACAGAAGCTCTTTATTTGACACTCAGTATACTTCCTTACTCATAGTAACTTTGGAATCGGGAAAGACAGCTCTGCATTAACCGTGATGTAGAGAGAGAGCGTGATCAAGAGTACACAGTTTCTCAGGCTGCCTCCTGGGAAGTAAACCGACTCATTGAGGAAACGCTATTAAGACATGAAGCTAAAATACATACTAGCCATAAAAGAAAGACGACAGACAAAAGGGCTTAGATTTCTTCCCCAAGCCATTTAAAGGGGGTGCAGAGGTATGAAGCACCTGGGATTCGGACCTCAGCTGGGACAAGGAGGCAAACCTGGCATCTTCGAGGGAGTATGAAAGTTAGGTGGGCACTGAAGCACCGCAGGGTGAGTGTGGGGTCAAACAGTGCAGTCCAGGGCATGAGGCCCAGGCAGACCTTCCTACCAAGACTGTGTGGGGCTGGGAGACCCCTTCTGTGCCTGGGTCCTTGAGTGACCATAGGTCTTTGCAGAAAGAGTCCAGGGCATAGTGTCAGCCACGGGAGGGAGGGGGATGGAGCCACGGGGAAGGGGGGAAGGGGAGAGGAGGAGAGAATGGAAGGGGTGGGGGTCCGGGCTCCAGGTGAGTTTGTCCCCCTCTGCGCTGGATCTGGTGACAAGGACAGAGAAGAACCGTGGTGTGGAGTGGGCAGTGAAGGAGTGGACCCCAGGAGGCAGGGGCACAGTGATCCACAGTGAGCAGGCTGGCGTGGCCTGACCCCAGCCTGTGTAAGTGCCCAGGGAGGTGCCCCGGGCCCTCTGGAAAGAGTGTGTCTGCCACAGCTGAGCTGCACATTTTTATGTCAATAGGTACCTGCATCAGATGTCATGTGAGCCAAAAAAAGGAACTGCTTTAGGAATGCAGGCCACATGAGCTGGTGCTTCGAGACTGAGTTTATTTATTTATTTATTTATTTATTTATTTTTTTAGGAAGTGAAAACCCATGCTAATTCCTAACGGCATTGGATCAGTAGAATAACATGACAGGAGAGCTGAGAATTGGGAATCATAGTACTCCAGGACTCCAGATTCCCTCATAAGGACTGTCTGGGAGCACTGGCCACTGGTACCACCACAGGGTCTCTGAGGCCTGGGAAGCAGGACTGAGGGGCAGGACTGAAGGCCCAGGGCTGCTCAGTGAGACACCCATGGGAGGGGCCATCCAGGTGCATATGGATCTTTGCCCTCATCAGAGGAGTGACCACTGACACAGAGAGTGCAGCCCAGAGCTGAGAAGGCAGCTGGTGGCCCTGGGCAATGGGAAAGGCGCTGGACTTCAGGGCCCAGCAGGGGCTGCTGGCAGCACCTGGTTCTGCTCTTGGAGATGGACTCGGGGAACTTGATGGGAATAGGGCAGTGGTGGCTGTCCAGTAGGGACTGGGGTCAAGTCAGTCCAGAGCCCCCAAGAGGCACGAGCACCAAGCTGACCCCAGGGAGGAACCTGGGAACAGGGGCCCACCCCTCTGCAGGGGGGAGTGAGGACTGGGATAGTATGCACCTCTGCAGGGGGGGAGTGGAGATGGGGAATAGTGTGCACATCTGCAGGAGGGAGAAGGTACGGGAGGGGCATAGTCCACAGCACTGCAGTGGGGAGTGGGGATGGGATAGTATGTACTTCTGTAGGGGGGGCATGGGGACGGGGGATAGTATATACCTCTGCAGGGGCGAGTGGGGAGGGGAATAGTACACATCTCTGCAGGGGCAAGTGGAGACAGGGGATAGTACTCACCTCTGCAGGGAGGAATGGGGATGGGAGGGGGGTAGTCCACACCTCTGCAGGGGTGAGTGGGGGACGAGACAGTACTCACCTCTGCAGAAGGGAGCGGGGAAGTCCCAGGATGCACCGTTGCCGGGGCTGATGATGCAGGTGAGGGTGGCGTGACCTTCCAGGATGTAGCCCGAGAGGCAGCTGTAGCGGACCTTGTCCCCGATGTTGAAGCGCGTGCCGTGGAGAACGCCTTTCAGGATCTCCCCGGGGTTCCCACACGTGTGGCTCGGTAACACTATTGCAAGAAGCCAAAAGAGAAGGCAGAGATGAAGGTTGCAGAAAGGTTTCCTGTACATCCCAAATCATGCAGTGTGGGGCTCGTCAAACGAGCACAGCTAGCCCAGATGTATTTTGATGGTGCTTAGAAATTAAACAGGAACCCACACTTCAGACTTCCGTAAGATTCCGTTTTATCCCCATAGAGGCTATTTCAAAGTAAGGATATCTGCACTTGAGAGGTTCACGAAGCTTCGCTGCTCAGACCTGGGAATGACATGCAGATTATTTCCATAATGAAGAGACTTGTGCCCCCACAGAGCGAGCACCAGGCAATAAAAAATGATACAGATCTCTGAAAAGTGAGATCTGAAATTGCCATTTCGGTGGTAGGGGCGGTGCAGAACATTGTCTGCTTAAAGCATAAATATTAACACTCTTTCAAACCAGGGTGCCTTCGAGAAATAAATGCACAGTAAATGAGCCAGCCTGCAGGAAGGGTCCTCACTCCTCCCGGGGGGAGGGGGAAAGTTCCCTGTTCAGTCAGGTTTGCTGCTGCACGAGGGAATTAAAGGAATAGCTGAAGCCCTGTCACTGAGCTGTCAGCCTCAACACATCGCCGTTCTCCAGCTCCACCGAGGGACTGGGCATCGCCTGAGTCCCAGCTGGTCCTTGAGATCCCTGTGGCCCTGTAACACCCACCATCAGCCTCTCAGCAAGCACGGTCCTCCACTCCCTGCCTCCCTGTCCCTGCGTTTCTCTCCACAAACTCAACCCCCAGAGGCCTGACAAGAGATGCTGCCCGGGGCCCTAGAAGAGGGTTTGGAGCTAAACTGATGCACATTTACTTAGATGGATGAAGCCCGAGAGTATTGGCTATTGTCTCCCCTTTTAGGACTTAAATTTAGCATGAAATCTGTAAATTAGAAGCTACTATGTAATATTCAAAAAAATAAGTGTAATATTTTCCAAATAAAGAGTATTTCTACATGAACAGATCATTTTATGTCTGTAGCCAAAGGTTTGCAAAGATAGACATAGCTACGTAAATAATGAATGTGCATAAATTGTGTATATTATATGCACACATGTGTGTACTTATCCATGTAACATACATGTATGAATACAGTGTTTCTTTGTAAAATAAGAAACAACACTTTCAGAGTGATGGGTAATCTCAGTGATTTCCAAAAGCAAGCTTCCTAATTAGGGATGATTTGGATATCTATTCACCAAACTATGTAGAAACACGGCAGGGAATAGAATCACTAAGATGGTTGATATTACTCATTTCTATATTTTTATAAAAATTGCTGAGAGATCTTTGAAAACCCTATTTGAGGAATACCTTTCTCCTTTATAAATACATGATTTTCTTGTATTTAATTTGGCCTTCTTTAGTCCAAAGGCCATTGGCCTTCTCTCAGTAATGCTTATAAACCGTGGGGATGGCTCAGCTCCTAATACTGCCTCTAGAGGCGAAAGATTCCCCTGTCCCATCAGATGCAGGCTGGGCCTCTGGGAGGGTTGGGGTTCAGGTGAGCCCAGGGAGAACCGGGGTCATGGAACCTTGGTCTTTCCATAGGGTGGAGGATCCGGGCATCTGCCTTCCCAGTTTGAGGGGCCCATCCCCTTCTTGGGCCTTCCTACGGCCTTTGACTGCATCCTTCCGGGAGGTCTCCCCAAAGACGAGAATCAGGGCTCATACCCCCAAAATGGTAAGACCTGCAGGGAGAACCGTGCCTCCCAGCAGAGAGAAACACTCCTGAGAACACCTCAGGCTGGACTCTGCCTGCTACTGAGTGGCAACACGCTGTGGTCCCACAGGCTCAAGCAGGAAGACAATCCCCAAAGTCACAGTCAGCTGAAGCAGTAGACAAGCGCAGCTACCAGGACCACTGCGACCTTGTCAAGGTGCCTGAGCACCCCAGGGGATCCCAGTGTGAGGCTAAAAACAGACACAACCCCCCTCCCCCCACCACACACACACACACAGCCCAAGACTGTGCTGGCCCACAGACATGCTAAGGGCCACAGGACACTGCAGAGGAGGGCAAAGACCTGGGCCTGGACTCTAGCAAGACACTCTCTGCTCACTATCACCCAGTCCACACCTCCACTGCTTCCTGCTGAAGGGAGAGAGGCCTGCAGCCATGTCCACTCTACACCCTGTCCAACATGCCACATCCTGTCCATCCATGCCACACCCCTGTCCTCTCCACACCCCTTCCATTCCATACCATGTCTGCTTTGCACCACCATCCACTTTATACCCCAACCCATTCCATATCCACGTCCTCTCTACATGCATGTCCACTTCATACCCCGTGTCCACCCCACACCTCTGCTCCCTGAACTCTCTGCACCCATCCACTATGCAGCCCCATCCTCTCTGCCCCTCTGTCCAGCCTGCAGTGGGCTCCCCGTCCTGAGGCCCTGACACCAGATCCACCCATCTAGACTCACCTTCATGAAAGCTGCCCTCCCTGATCCCCAGAGTCCTTTCTGCCCAGCACGGCTCACTGCGCAATGCTGTGAGCTGTGTGACGGAAGGAAGGTGATGGATGCAGAGTCAAACTTTGGGAGGGAAGAACAATGGTTCCTGGAAAGGTTTTCCCAAGAGACCTCTGACAGCCCCTCAGGGAGCTCTGAACCATGCCAAAGGCCACACCTGGCCCTGCAGACCCAGACCCAGAAAGAACAGGGTCAGATGGTCATCCCAGCAGGCCCAGAGAAAGTTACAGGCTGCCATGGGAAGGCGGCACCTGGCAGGGCCTCTGGGGCCACAGCCAGTGTCATGCTCACCTGCAGTGCTGGAGTCTGGCACTGGCCACGCAGAGCCCTGAAGGAGGAGCAATATTGATGGAGCACCTCAGCCAACTCCCCCCCCCCAGCAGCTCCCCAGGGTTTGGGGACAGAACCAAGCCCCCCTGAGTCACTGTCAGCCCCACAGCAAAGCAGGCCATGCTGTGAGCACAAAAGCCGGGGGCAGCAGCAGGACCCTTGAATAGACCCTCCCCTCTGCCTCCTGGGCAGGTCACTTGCTGATGGCGACGGCATGGGGTCCACAGGTGACAAGCTGACCACTGCTGGCCGTGAGATGCTGGCATGGGCCTTGCTGTATCCCCGCCCAGAGCCCCTTTCCCATCTCTATCCACAGAGGCAAGAGCCACGTCCAACCCCGCAGCGAAACTGCGTGTGCATATTTGCTTATTGAAGTGAGTGCATGAATAGTCACACAGACGCATCCCGCCTCATTCTAGATTGGTGACACATTCAGTAACTACAGTCCTCGGGGCTCCTGGTTGGGGGAGGATACGGGGTAAATTCTAAAAACCACTGGGGCAAAATGACACTTTGGAAAGACGAAATCAATGACAAATCAGGCTATTAAGTCACTTTCTCCCCACATTTGGATAAAGTTGTAAATATGTCTCAGAGGCTTAAAATGAATTTTAGACACTTAAATGAAAAATGATAGAGTAAAAGAGGACAAGTGATTAAACTGCTATTTCAAAGTTCAAAGCTTTGGATATTACTGAAAAATGGTCATTTATGATATAGAAATAAGGGTCTTTGGCATCACTTGATCACTTGACTTCCGTCAATTGTCGATTCGCTCGAGCGGGCGCCAGTAACATCTCCATTTGTCCCTGTCGCGTGCTAGTGTAGCCCAATGGCATCTGTTTGCTCTAGGAACATGAAGAGCCTCAAACCGATCGTTCATGATTGTGATGAAGAAGTCTGACCATCTGGTAGGTGGGCGGCCATGCGGTCTTTTGACATCCCATGGAATCCAGTCGGTAACAGCTCTAGTCCAGTGGTCATCTTTAAATCTCATTACGTGACCAGCCAATCTGATTTTTGACACCTTTGCAAACGAGACAGCGTCCCTGATTCTTGATTGTCGATGGATGTCGGAACTCCGGATTCTTTCTCTCATTTGAGAGAAACGTGATATTCCAAGCATAGCTCTTTCAATTCCTCTTTGGGAGACCCGAATAGCGTTCTCATCCTGTTTGCGTAGGGCCCAGGTCTCTGAGGCGTATGTTAGTGCAGGAAGAACAGTGGAATCAAAGAGATGTGCCCAGAGCCGGAGGTTCTTCGTCCTCTTAGCTATTTCTTCGACGCTCTTGAAGGCATTCCAAGCCGCTCTCTTCCTCCTGCGCAGCTCGGGTGCCAGGTCATTTGTCATGTTGACTTCTCGACCTAGGTACACATAGCTGTTGCATTCAGAGATGGTGGTTCCGTTGAGAGTGAATGGGGCGTCAGGAACGAGGCTGTTTCTCATAAACACTGTCTTCGTAAGATTCAGCTGTAGACCAACCTTTCCACACTCACGGTTGAAGTCGGCCAGCATTTGTGCCGCTTGGCTGATGTTTGGTGTTACTAAAACAATGTCATCAGCAAAGCGGAGGTGGTGTAGTCGCCGACCATCTATCTTCACTCCCATTCCTTCCCATTCCAGGCGCTGCATGACGTTCTTGAGGGTGGCACTGAAGAGTTTCGGTGAAATGGTATCACCGTGCCGAACCCCTCTCTTGGCATCAATGATTACTTCTTTGTAGAATGGTGAGATCCTGGTAGTGAATCCGCAATACAGCTCACGGAGGATCTTGATGTATTGGGCTTGAATGCCCTGATTGGCTAGGGCTTCAATGACCGCTTCCGTCTCAACAGAATCAAAGGCCTTCTTTAAATCAATGAATGTTAGACAGAGTGGCATCTTGAACTCCCGAGAAACCTCAATGAGCTTGGTTATCGTGTGGATATGGTCGATGGTGCTGAATCCTTTGCGGGTCTTTGGCATAAATCAATTATATTTGAAAAAAATGGTAATTTGGGGGTTGTGGACACACTCAGCAGTGCTCAGAGATCATTCCTGGTGGTCTCTGGGGCCCAATGGAGCTGAGGACAGAACCTGGGTCACAGGCAAGAGTAGTAAAAACCTCTCTGCTGTCTACTTCTCTGTCCTTAGAAAAATTGGGATTTTATTAATGTAAACAATACCACCAAGAA